TGAATGAATGATTGAATGAATGAATGAATGAATGAATGAATGAATGAATGATTGAATGAATGAATGAATGATTGAATGAATGAATGAATGAATGAATGATTTAATGAATGAATGATTGAATGAATGAATGAATGATTGAATGAATGAATGAATGAATGAATGAATGATTGAATGAATGAATGAATGAATGAATGATTGAATGAATGAATGAATGAATGAATGAAGCTGCTGCTCCTGGGTAGCTAGTGTCCATCTGTAGATTTGTACAGACTCAAGTAAAGCAGCAGATCACCACGTAGCGTACAATAAAACAGTAAAACATTAGTAAGAGGAAAGTTTATTTCACGATGTGATAAATATGAGATTAAAAGTTGTACAGTTCATTTTAGTGTGGCTGATGTTTCCCCTCAGGACACGAGAGTGTAGTCGAGTTACTGTGAGGTTACGAGTGTTTGAGAAAATCTGACAACATTTTAAAAAGTAGAAGGATTTTTGGTCTTTGACAGATTAAATAAATCACATTTATTGATTGAAACGAAGTAAAACAATAAACAAAAACAAAAATTGAACTGTGGCTGATTTTTCCCCAAACAATTATAAAAAGCTGTTTTGTGTGAGGTCTTCTCACCAGGTTGACCAGGATGTAGTGGTAGTTCTTCAGGTTTCTCTTCTGAGCAGCAATCTGAGAAAAACAGAGACATTCAGAGATGATGGAGGAAAATATTCTGTCTGTCTCACATACAGGGGGTGTCAGACTCACTTACAAAGGGGCCACAATTAAAACTTTGTTCAAACTAAGGGCCATTTTCAGAAACTACATGAACTCAAGTCAGAAACCAACATCTTCTCTTGGTCACATGTTCCTCAGCAAGAGTTAGATTGGTCTCGTTTGATGTTCTCTGATGTGCTTTCAACATCATAATCAAAGATTACTGAAACAATTCAAGTCATAAAAGCATTTTATGTTCAACACATCATCTGGGGGGTAAATGTCACCGAGGGCCACATTTGGCCCCCGGGCCTTGAGTTTGACGCATGTGATCTAAAAGAACCGCACTCGACTGCAGGAGATTTATTACCAGTATTTTACTTGCAAGGACACTCTCAGGACAGGTTACACCGATATACAGGAAGTAGACACCGATATACAGGAAGTAGACACAGATATACAGGAAGTAGACACAGATATACAGGAAGTACACACAGATATACAGGAAGTACACACAGATATACAGGAAGTACACACAGATATACAGGAAGTACACACAGATATACAGGAAGTAGACACATGCACACCAGTCAGGAGAATCTGCCGTGAGCCGTCTGCAGTTTGCTTTTATTTTCTTATCAGTTTGGCCGAGCTCACAGACTCGGAGGAGTCCTTGAAGTGACAGCTGCACGCAGCCTCACCAAGCTCCTCACCCAGCTCCTCACCCAGCTCCTCACCCAGCTCCTCACCCAGCTCCTCACCCAGCTCTGTACCAACCCAAACATATGGTTCATGGGCACAGTTAACATTCTCTGCCATAGTAGTTAAAAACTTCCATAAACTTTGATCAAACATTCCCTAACAGATGATGAGTTAACTGCATGTTTCTCATGTTTTCAATGATAAGAAGCATCTGTGCGTGCGTGCGTGTGTGTGTGTGTGTGTGTGCGTGCGTGTGCGTGCGTGTGTGTGTGTGTGTGTACACAACAGTTCCTAATTGGAAGCCTCCGCTCCTCTTAGGGAATTAATTGCTCGTTATCATAAAAAGGAGGAAGTGAGTGTGTGTCCACACGTTTCTGAGTCAGCTGACAGATGTTAGGAAGGAGACGCAGAGACAGGAGGAGCGAAGACGGAGAAAAAAGAGGAGGAGGAAGAGGAGGAGGAGCAGTCGCACAGAGCGGCAGGAGGAAGCAGGTGTTGGCTTCCTCTCTCCTCTCAGGTCCACCTCTTAATGAGCTTCAGTCAGTAAACGTTCACTAACACAGCTGCTCAGCAGGAGGAGGAAGCTGCACCTCCCTCCTCCTCCTCCACTTGTATCTGTCACCTCCTTCTGTAGCTTGAAGTTCACCACAATAAAAACCCCAAATGTTGATTATTTTCACGAGTTTGTGAACTTGAGGAAAGCGTCATGAACCAGTTCTTCCTAATTTTAAACTTTTTATCAAACTGACTTTTTACACTCAGTTGGAACGATTTTGTTATTTTGTTATTTTGTTATTTGGGACAGAGGTGCAGTTAAATGACTTAGACCGTCATATCATCGGTCTTGATGGAGAGAACATGAAACTCCACCCAGAAAGGTCCCCGGACGGGGATTTGACCCAGAGTAACCTGCTCGCTGAGAGGCAGCAGCTCTTCCAACTGCTCCACCGTGCCGCCCTTTATGTAAAACAAATAATGAATAAAAATCTAAACGCTGAAATCTTAGGCCTTCTTCAAAGGTGCTGAAGGCCCCGAGTTTCCCACTGGGATACAGGGTCTTAGGACGTTTTGGGTGTTACGTTCTGAGCCAGAATTTGTATCAGGACACCTCACCTGGAAAAGGAAACTAAAGCACTCTGCTGAAAGCAGGTGAGCCAGGTGTGGCAGGTGAGCCAGGTGTGGCAGGTGATCCAGGTGTGGCAGGTGAGCCAGGTGTGGCAGGTGATCCAGGTGTGGCAGGTGATCCAGGTGTGGCAGGTGATCCAGGTGTGGCAGGTGATGCTGCGGGGACCGTGGACTTCAGAAAACCCAGTGGACCAGCACCAGCTGAGGACATGGACCCAAACATCACTGACTGTGGACAGAACCGGCCAGTTCTTTGTGTCCTCAGCAGGTAAGACGCTTCTGGTGTTGTCTCTGGTTCAGGAGTGTCTGGACCCGAGGAACGAGACGTTTGTAGCTCATGTCCAGGAGTTCATCAGCTGATGAGGCTGTGACTCCAGGAGTTTAAAACACGGAACCTCTTCACAATCTTCTCTTGTTCTTTTGGGTTTTCATCATCTGTAAGTCATGATCATCAAACTCACAAGAAATAAAGACTTTAAATATTTTACTCTAATGAACCGATGTAACATGTGAACTTTTTCTGAGATGAATCCGTAAACTCGCTCCAACTCGATGGGAAATAAAAACCTGAATTCACTTCCTGGTTTTTGTTATTTCTGGTTTTTTTTGGTTGTTTTCTATAAACTACACTTTATGAAAATGTTTTGCATGTTTGAGGGGGTGTTGCCATTAACAGTTCTTTTTTAACTGGCTTAAATATCTTTTATCAAGATGTTGAGCTCAAGTTTGATATTTAAATCTTTTTTCTTCCAGTTTTATATTTTAATGAACGCAGACGTCTGATCAGCTCAATTGTTTGGAAAACTTATTTTTGTAAAGTTTACCAGAAATAAAAAGTGAAAATAATTTCAGCTGAACGTGCTGGTCAGGCCCCAACAGCTGGTCCTCTAGGAGATCGACCCGGTCCAACGAGTCCTGTGGCCAAAATAACAGAACCATTAAATGAAGCCCGCAGACAGCAGGACCAGCTCTGAAGCTGAAGTCCCAGATGTTTGGACCTAACGATGTCCGCCCTCAGCCACAACATTCCCTTTATGATGCAGAACCAGTGGGTGTTCATCATGTTCACGGCGTTCTGGGTCTTTTCCAGCGATCCTGTAGAGCTCATCAGTCCATAATTACTGTTTCCCATCATGATGGTGGATGACTGAGTAAATTAAGAGGTTTAAATGGATCCAAAGGCCTGGACACCAGCAGGTTCAGAGCCGTTACATTAAAATTATTTATCTCTTCTATGTCATTTTGTCACTGAAACACCCCAAAACTAAAGTTTTCTCAAGTCCTGGTTGTTTTTGTCTCATCTTTGATCGAGTATCCAACAAAAATCCTTTGTTCTTATTACGCGACACCTTTCACGCTCCGGTTTTAGACTAAAATCATTTTATTGTTACATTACTTTTGGTCAAATCTTAAAATAGATATAAACTTGTAGCTCGCTCTACCCTTCCACTTGCTTGGCTCCACTTCACTTGAAACTCCGGTCCTCTACCAGAGGCCTGGGGTCTGAGGGTTCTGTTCTTCTGGACACAGATCTCTGAGGTTGTTCCTGGGATCTGTTGGAGCCACTCTTCCAGTCTGGGGCTCACAGCACCAAGTCCTCCACTGAGCACTGGGACTGCTGACGCGTTGGCTCTCCACAGCTTCTGCATTTCCTCTTTCAGTCCTTGGTAGTTCTCCAGCTGCTCCTTCTTCATGTTACAATCTCTTGGCGTTGCTCCGTCTATCACCACTGCTTCTTCTCTTGTTGCTGACCTCCACAATGTCTGGTTGGTTACACTCCACCTATTTGTCAGTCTAGATCTGGAAGTCCCACAGTATCTTAGCCCTTCCATTCTCCACCACCCTTGGTGGCGTCTTCCACTTTGACTGTGGGACCTTCAGTCCATACTTGGCACAGATGTTCCTGTATATTTTTCCAGATGTTCCTGTATGCTATTCCAGATGTTCCTGTATATTATTCCAGATGTTTGTATATATTATTCCAGAGGTTCCTGTATGTTATTCCAGATGTTCGTATATATTATTCCAGATGTTCCTGTATATTTTTCCAGATGTTCCTTTATATTATTCCAGATGTTCCTGTATGTTATTCCAGATGTTCCTGTATGTTATTCCAGATGTTCCTGTATGTTATTCCAGATGTTCCTGTATGTATTTCAGCCGATGGTTATGGCGTTCCATGTTTGCTTTATCTGCCTGGATCTTACATCCTGCTGTGTTGGACTGTCTCAGGGCATCTTTGCACAGCTCCATCTTTGGTCTCGTCTGGTTTGGTAGATCCTGACCTCTGTTGTTCTTGTGCTGCCATGATTATATTCTCTGTGCTGTCCTTCAGTCCATCCCCCTCTAGCCACTGGAAGGGTTTGCTGATGTCAGCCACTTCCTCCACCTACCAGTGGGACATGCTATGCTTGTCTTTCACATTCCCATTGAGTTCTTAATGAAGGCTCTAAGAGTCCTGTTGATGTTGTGTAGTTTTAACCACTCTAAGGTTCAAGGTTCTTTATTGTCATTCTCATCGCATGTGGTACATGAGGTAGAACACAACTGTGTACTCAAGATCCCAGTTACACCCAAACATAGCAAAAATATAAAGTATAAAAAGAAACTCTATACAAGGATATAGACACTAATGTATAAAATAATGCGGTGTATTAAATGATATAAATATATATATATATATATATATAATCCAGTATCCATGTGTGTGACATTGAGTCATAAGCTTGCTTGTAGTCAATCTAAGCAGTGCACATGTTTTTGTGTCGTCTTACAGTCTGGAGCTGCGTTCTGTCGACCAGTAGAAGGTGCTGGGCTCCCCTGGTGTTGGGTGTTCCCCGTCACCTTCTGTACCGCGCTCAGGTATTGACCCCTGGGCCTAATTATCTTAGCTCTACGACGCTTGATACATACGTGTGTGTGTGTGTGTGTGTGTGTGTGTGAGATGTAATTTATTCCTGCAGAACCCCAGAAGCTCTGTTAGCCCTCAGAGTATGTGTTGAGGGTGACTCTCAGTTATCACTTCGCTAAATTTTAGCTCAACATCCATAAAACTACTCAACTATCAGCTGTTTATGTAGTGGGTCAGTTTGTTGTGGCGGCCATCTTTAATTGAAAATTGAAATAAGGGTTAATGAGTTGAGAGATTCTTTAAACTTTGTTCACTGGTTCATGAGATATTTTGCTAACACTACAGACAAACATGTGTGCCCACACTGACAGACAAGAGCCAAAACATGATCTCCCTCCGTTTTTTCTTGAGTCCTGCTCGTTTAAAGAACAGTCTTTGTTTCCTCTGGGCTGAGTGCCACAAACTGTTAAATGTTCGTCTCTACTGTTTGTTATCTGAAGCAGCCGAAGGTCCGTGGTCCTCCGAGGTTAACGCTAATGGCGCCTGTGAACTCTTGACTTTTCTTTGTCCTCGTTCGGTTTTTCTTCATCATCACACAGGTCCATAAAAACCTGCTCCTGTAATATTTATCGGCACGATTCAACGGTCTGTCGTCTTGACTCGTCGTCACGCAGCCGGACTCGGACATTTAACTCCCATCCAGACTAAATGAAGCGAGCTGGAGTCGGGCCGAACACCATCTGATGGTTTCATTTCACAGATCAGAACAGCACCTGGGTCTCCTGTTACCAGCTGGAGCGCACTGAATGTTCCCAAACCACTGCAGGTGCCAGGTTCAAGCTTTTGTCTTTACAAAATAAAAATGAAAAGTGTTTCCTGCAGCCATCGTCCTCCTCGCTGCTCCTTGAAAACTACACAATATTCAAAATCTCCTTCTTTTCAATACAAATAGTGGCTTCGTGGTTCCGCTCAGTTTCCTGTCGGCTCGTAGCAGAAACGCTCAGCTGCTCTGAACACGATGCGTCAGATGTGCACCTGTGTCTGTGCACGGTGGGTCCAGGACGAGCACGTGACCACAAACACGCAGGAACATGGTTTCTGTGGATGTGGACATCCTGGTTTACAGTGTCTAATATTATTTATCATTTGACAAATTCTGCTTTTTAAACTGAATCAAGGATCGAAGGTTCTTTGTGACTTCATCTGGATCTTCATCCAAAGAGCGACACGTGTGCAGAAATGACTGGAACTGCAGAGTCTTCTGTCGCAGCAGAACGCTTCAGTAACTAACAGACGTTAAAGTACCGGAGGAGGAACATTTCATTTATTCTGCATCACTGTAAAATAAAAAATAAAACAGTTTGCTTTTCGTCGGAGCAGCTGTTTTAGTTCAAATGAAAAGAGCAGCAGAGCTTCAGCTAAAAGCTTTAAAGTGCCCGAGACTCTAAAACACAAAGAGTGGAAGAAAACATCTTAATATTTCAGACATTTGACATAATACACACGATTTTACTCATTTTATCACATATCGGGCAGACTTCTTTTGAACTTGCTGCAGCCAAAGTGAAACAGGAAGTGACATTAAAGGGAACTTCCTGTTTTTAGTTTATTGAAACTTTAGACTGAAAATAATGTAAAGAAACACCCCATTCTTCTCTGCTGTCTGTTGTTAACCACTGTGGCAAAACTCTGTTACTCTTTGTCATCACTTCCTGTTACTGTGCAAGGAGAGATGTCGACCACTGTTCATCTCAGCAAAGTGAAAAGTATTCAGCAATAAGTTATTGTGTGATATTGTGTGTAGTCTTACGGTCTGGAGCCGCGTGTGTGTGAATGTTCATGAAGCATTCATTCTGTTCTGATCCATTTTCCTTCTGTACATTTTTCTGCATCGTTCCCATCCCACAGTTTGTGTTTTATTTCAACAAATCATAAAACGTTCGGCTCTTTCACGACAATCCTGCTGTGACTTTTAGTATTGGTACAACTTTAGCTGTTTGAAATATTTAGCCTTTTCTGCCATTTTTTCCTCAGAAAATTAATGGAGCATCTTTAGATGTGTTTACATCCTTTTACTGCTCCTTTCATGTTTTGTTCTGCTTCAGCTTCTTTATGCCAGTTACTCAGCTACTATTTAGCTGTTTTTATGCTAATTTTAAATTTTCAGACAGTTCCACATTTTTGAGCTCATTTAAACTTGTTCCACTTCCTTCTGGTAGTTTAAGCTTCTTTCTGCCTTTCAGCTACTTTTCAGCCAATTTATTTTGCTAATGTCAGCTTTTTTATTTTTTTAGCTACTTTCCTATATTTTTGTGCTGATTTCTGCTAAACCTACTTCAGAAAATATGTGTTCTTTCTGCTTGTTTAGACTTGTTCTCCCATTTCAGCATGTTTGTTAGATTATTTCAGCTGTTTTTTTGTTTGTTTAGTTTTTTTTTTTAATTTCTTCAGCAATAAGCATTCACACTGAATGTTCACAGGAAATGCAACTCCTCTAGTTATAGTTAACTTTCCAAAAATGTCTTTGCATTTAATGACTCCACTGACTACGGTGACTTTATTTAAAGGAACGCTCCTTCAAGAACCCTGCAGATGTTGGATGCTGCAGATGTTGGATGCTGTCTATCATGGTGCACTAAGATTCATAACTGGCTGCAACTACCGTACTGCACCCAGTATTCACTGGTTAACTGGTCACCATTAACCTCACAGGAGCCCAAAAGAAGAATTCATCCTGAACCCTCCAAACTTCAGCTTCTTGTTGTCGTCCTTCAGCAGAGATGCGTTCCTTGATCTCGTTGAAGCAGCTAAAAGCAAACACGAGCTCCACGCCTCTTCTGACAGGAAGCTCTGTTCCTTCCAGTGGCTGACTTATTTGTGTCGTTGTGGCCGTTTGTTTGGACAGTTCTGTCAAACTGACACCGGCTCTAATGGGCTCTTAACAGCTGGCGCACAACAGCAGCTCCCGAAGGGCAGAACGGAGCTGAGGAGCCTCTGAAGAAGAAGTGGTCAGTTCACACTGCAGCAGACAGCCTGCACACGCCTCCGTCTCCTCCTCTCTTCAATCGTTTTCACGTTCATTACAAGAGCCCAGTTAATCTCCGCCTGCCATCTGGTTCTGAAGCTGCACGTCAACGCCTCGTCTCCTGGTTTCAGCCAGGGAGAGCTGATCGGCGACGTTTGGTTTTAAATACAAATAGATGAAATTAATTATTATTTCAGAAGCAAAAAAACAGCTGAAGTAGCTAAAAACGTGCTGAAATGTTGCTGAAAGCACAAGTTAGCTGAAGAAAGTAGAAAGAACACATTATAGCTGAATTAGGTTTAAATAAATTAGCAAGAAATTTAGGAAATTAGTTAAGAAAGCTGAAATTAGCAACAACAAAAAAGAAATAAGCTGAAAAGAACATTACTAGCTGAAATTAGAAGTTAGAAGAAGCACAAAAATGTTGTAGTTAGCAGAAAGAATCTGAAAGGAGCACAAAACAGCTGAAAGTAGCTGAAAGTAGCTGAAAAAAAGTTTAAATTAGCAGAAAGAAGCTGAAGCAGAACAAAATGTGAAAGGAGCAGAGAAAGGTTGTAAACAGATCTAAAGATGTGAAGGAGGTAAAATGAGCTCAGTTCATTTTCTATCAGAATAAAATGTCAGAAAGGCTAAACATTTCAAACAGCTAAAGTTGCACCAGTACCAAGAGTCACAGCAGGATTGTCCTGGAAGAGCCGGACGTTTTGATTTATGATCAGTCAGGTCATCTGGACGGTTTCTTTTTTTGCTGAGATGTTTCGTCCTTCATCCAAAGAACGTCATCTGTCCGAGGAGCCACAAACAAACTGAGTCCCACAAGCAGCACACCCCCACTTCTCAGCAAGAAAATAAACTGTTCTCACCGTTTCTGTTCCTCTACACCTCAGACTTCAGGTCACAAACCTGCGTCTGCAGAAGTTCTGGATGACTCTGACACTGTGGGCTGCACCACTGGTGACCAGGAAGCTGAATACAGATGTGTGGTGGACAGAACCAGCTGCAACTCAACACTGGAAATACTAAAGAGCTGCAGGTGGACTACAGGAAGAAGATCAGACCCCCCAACCCTATCAACATCAAGGGTACTAAGGTGGACACTGGACTGCTAGAAGTACCTGGGGGCCCACCAGACAATAAACTGGACTGGACAGCTGACACCAACGCCTCTACAAGAAAGAGCAGAGACACCTTCTTCTTCTGAGGAGACTCAGGTCCTTTAACGTCTACAGGACCATGCTGCAGATGTTTTACCACTCGGTGGTCTCTGCAGGACCATGCTGAAGATGTTTTACCACTCGGTGATCTCTGCAGGAGCATGCTGCAGATGTTTTACCACTCGGTGGTCTCTGCAGGAGCATGCTGCAGATGTTTGACCACTCGGTGGTCTCTGCAGGAGCATGCTGCAGATGTTT